AGTTTGGAAATCTTCTTCACTCAGAAGCATAAACAACAAGATTCGGATTCTGTTCAACAGAAATGTGAAGTCAGTCAGTTCTTCTATGTGCATCAGAGACTTCCACTGCACTCGCTTCACGAAAAGCATTTCCAACAGGTTACAGGCTTTTATTAAACATCTGCCCTCGCTGGTTCTATATTGAAGATGAAATGGCCGGCCGACCGGTCAGAAAGAACTAGCAACAAGAAACTCTGGCTGGGAACAAACCAACCGAGAGCTGATTGCTCAACAAATATGCAGAAAAAAATGCAGATGGATCGGGAAAACTATTAGGAGATGGTGGAATAAAATCGCACGCAATATAGGGTATCGTTCGTGTGGAACCTGAATGAGAAACGAGGAGTTAGTCGTGGGTCCTAGATTGACATGGAGGAGATCGTGTGGGGGGGGGGAGGAGTTGGTAGATTATGGGCAACAAGGGGGGGGGGTCAACTTAAGGGGACAGCAGAAAATATGACAAAGTGGAGATGGGTTGTTGAAGCAGAAAATTCCACTTGGAATCCAAGGGGATAATAATAAACTAAGAGTATTGTTATCATTACTATTAAATATTTCACTATCTATAGGTGTCGGTATCCTATTTCCGTTGTATATTATCGTTTGTCAAAAAAACAACAACAGCAACAGAGAGGTTATACCAAAAGGCTTTGAGTTTGAATATTATTTGTCGGGTCTTAGAAAACTAGAGTGAAGGTGAATATTTCAGTCTGACTATGTGTCACCGGAACCTCCATTAACGTAGAAAACAAAGTGACGTTACTTTAGGTTGATTATATACACGTTTTCAGTTATTTTGGTTGATGGCCTGATTAACAGTGGAATCCAAGATGTGCATTTCTTCCTATTTACTACCACCAGTCAGTTGGATGTAACTGTATTCCCAATGAATGACGATGTTCCCACTGAGACTCAAATCTGGCAGCCTTCTGTTCCGAATGCCAAAGCGACCTCCAGTAGACCAATTGGGTCAAGAGAGACATCTCTCGTGCAACAGGCATAAGTAATTATTTTTTGTTGTTATAGCTTAGTTACCTGGAACAGACTTCTTATATACACTAGCCTTTGACCCACATTTATATTGTTTGAGGAGTGGTGATATTGCCCAAGCTGAATTAGGTAGAGCAGGACTCGAACCCAAGGCCCATTGGCTGAATCTCAGTCATCTAGTAAATGGATCGAATTTCTGATAGCCGAATTTCAACTGGATACATTTACATGAAAGTTAATAATCAGTGTGAAGTAGGATGTGATAAGCATGAGATGGATAATAATACTGTTGCTCAATATCGATTTTGGTCAATAATGTGATTAATTACCAATAATACTGAGAAATTTGTACAAAATTTATCTGACAATTACACTTGATATTTTATGTTTGATAAATGAACCATTTGAAAATGATAGGTCAATAAGTTTCATTATATTTTCTTGAGAAATACATGTGAATAAGATGAGAAAATAATTCCTTGGGTATAGACACGTGAACAGAGAAATGAATTATTGGTTCTGACATTCACCCCCCCCCCGTCTAAACGAACTGATACTGCCAAAAGTCGGTGGATAGAATTTGGTCTTTGGCCACGCGTTCAAAGCTCATTGTCTTCACGCCACAGCACAAAAGTGAAAGGGCAAATAGAAACGACCACACGGGTGGACATGCAAGTCGTCTACTTAGGAGAGTTGAAAAATCCTCATTCTAAACTTATGGTGTAGATGGGCTTTAGAATCCGAAAGAACCGAATGTCATGTGAAGAACGTCTTGTGGTCAACGGAAGTTATGGGGATGTAGCTCCTGACGATGCTCCTGCTGCCTTGTGGATCAAACTTCAAGTGAAGGGCTCCGGGTTTGGCTACCTAAGACAGCTCCCTGCTTAGGTCTCGGAGTTTGAGGGAGTATACCAACCGTTGCAAAAACAACAGGATTTTCTATGGCGCATCTTTTTTATGAGCTTGCACTATTACAATATTATTTTACAAAGTTAGTTATTGTGACAGTTTAAAGTAGTTGTTCGCGTTTTAAGAAAGTGATAAAAAATGACTGATAGGTTGGCGAGTTTCCATGTGAAGGTCGTACATCTAAGAAGCATGATAATATATATATCAAACTGAAGGTAATCAATAATTGTCGGAGTGAAGATGTCACTGCTTTCATAAAATTATCAATATGATAAGTGAGTTTGGTGATTTCGTATCATAAGTAGTATTGGTATTTGCACTTAAATGGCATGAATTCATTGAATTATTAAACGTTATCAAAAAGATTTTTTTTCATAATATCAAGGAAAGATGCAGTTGTTTAACGTCTCATTTGAGAAATTAATATAGAACTTATTCAAGTTACAATTACGGATTCACAAAGCAGTAAATACAGTAATGATCTCCGGATATTTAGCGCAGTTAGATTGTCATATGTTTTTTAAATAATGTTCTTCTAAGTATGACAATATGAAGTGAATAACTCGTGAATGGAAGCCAGTTGTAAAGGTAAACTATCGCATTTAACCACTTCTATGTGTATCTACCAATCGACTTGCTCATGTGTAGCGAGGGAGATATATAGGTCGTTCGATTCAAAGATCATTATCCTGCTTGGTCACAAAAAGGTAACAGTGGATCAATAAGGAGTGCTATAATTCGACGCATAGTCAAGACTGGTCACTCACTAGGTAAAGAGAATTCATTCAAAGTCATCTACAAAGTGAAAAAAGAAGCCTCCCGACAACGGTAAGCTTTCGTATAGTTTGCATTGTCGAGGCCTTAGCGATTCGGATGGAAAACTATGATTTACGTACACAGAAGAAACTTCATCATCCCCTCCTTCAACCTTGGGTATAATTCCAAGTTCTACTGTTCTTCTTATTATTTATTATTGTTTCCTTTAATTCCTAGAGGAACATAGGGCTTCAGCCACACGTCTCCATTGCGTTCGGTTCTCTGCTAGAGTCTTCACCTAGATCCAAGTCTGCCCACATGCTTTCATCTCCTCTTCACGTGACCTCCTCCAAGTCACCCTCACACTGACGACCAACTCGCCGCTTCCAATTCTGTCGGGTTCCACTCGAGCAATGGCTTGTCTAGTGATGTTAATTGATGGTTTCCTCAGAATGTGGCCAGCCAATCCATCTCCATTTCTTCCTGCCTATTTGTCTCACAATCGGTTCCTGGTTGGTTCGCTCATTGCCAGAGATCCCTGTTGCTGATCAACTCTGGCCGGCCATCTGATCTTGAGTAGTACTGAGAGAAGACAGCTGTTGATGAAGGTGTGTAGTTTGTTTGAGATGCTCTTTATGACGCGCAGTGCAAGTCTCTGATCCGTATATTGAGTAGCACTGACTGACTTCACATTGGAGTTGAAAATCCGGATCTTATCTTCGTTTTGATGCTGAGGGCTGTTGACCTCCACACAGACTTGAGAGTAGTGAAAGCTTGTCTTGCTTTTCCGATCCTCGCTGCTTTGATATCCTCGTCAGTTCCGTTGGCCTGTAATTGAAACGATGCTTCCCAGTTAGGTAGGTGAAGGAGGTTGTTTCTTTCAGGTTCCTCCCATTTATGCTGATCGTTGTCTGTTGTTGTTGTTGCTGTTGGTGGTGTTGCCCAGGAATCTTCATCACCTCTATTTTCTCTATGTTCACCTAAAGTCCTGTCTTCTCTGGATGCTTCTTCTACCAACTTGTTGCTTTTCGCTTGCATATCTTCCAGTTTGTGGGAAATCAGACATATATCATCGGCGAAGTCCAGATCCTCCAAGTCCTTTTTTGTGTGAGTCCATTTTATGCCTGTTTCCTCATTGCCGAGGGCGTGGCTATCATGATGTCACCAACGGCAACGAAGGCCCTGATGCAATGGGAGGCGATTTCGCCCAGGAGAATGACCACCAGATTCAACTCCAAAGGAAGGAAAGTGTCAGTTATACAATGCTATGCACCGACAAGTTCTACTACTTTGTTATTAATGTAATTTTTTCTTTTTTTGAATTTTTGTAAAACATCTTAGTAACGTCTTCTTCTTAACCAACCGTTCATTTACTCTTTCTACCTATTACTTAATGTGTTTTGGACACGTGTTTGCATTAACATCCTATTTCATATTACGCAACCTTTGTGAGTACTTATCAGTTTTGATTATTCATCACATTTTAGAAGCCTTTTGATGACGTAAACAATAACCCTAACTAATGTTGGTATTAGATGGTTGGAGGCAATCGGCCACAGGAAGTCTTGGACCTAGGTTTCGTGCTAGTTGGCACTCACCAGTCAACAAGGCGTATCTGCAACCTTGAAGGAACTCATGTCCCTTCTGAGATTCTAAGCCGCGTCACCCAGTGAACTCTGCAGTCAGAGACGTTACCACTGAGCTATTCAGGCTCGCGATTGACCTCCTATAATGTGTTTAGTCCTATCTTCGCTGCAGACTGAATTCTATCACAAAATAATTATATATAAATGCGATTGTACAGCTAAGCGACCGAATTCGCCGCCGACAGAGAGACTCTTTGTTGAACTATTTGGTTCTTATATTCATGTCTGGGTGGGTATATTCCGTGAAGCTAGTTTCATCGTTGTACTTATGGTTATTTCTGTGATAGTTCAGTTTAGATTTCAGATATTTTGTGAACTTGTGGATTTTTAGAAGTAATATATAAGTGATTGAAACAGAATAGTTTACTTTGTCCCAATAATCTTGAATTTTCTTTTTCCTTCACGTTCCCAAGTGGAACATAGGGCTCCAAGCTAGTGCCTTGAAGTTTCTGTAGCAGTGCTTTTAATTTTTACAGGATGGGGTTGCTAGCTTCATGCCCAACCTTTCCTCTTCACCAGCATTATTTCTGGCTTAGCGAGGTAAAGGAGTGCGTCTGTGGTTGGGGATCGAATCCCAGACCATGTGTATGGTCGCCGAGCGTCCTAACCGCTATGCCACCGACGCTAATAATCTTGAATGCATACATAGATAATGCTTACCGTATCTTGAGCGTGATCTGAATCACCAAGATCTATACCATACTTTACATCAGCTCTCCATGTTGCAGTAATATGAAGTTTTGTTAAGAAAACTTTACGAAATTCCTGGAGTAAGAATAAGAAAAGAGACAAAATAAGGAAGGTAAGAATTACCCACTTTACAGTAAGTTACACAAAGTTTTATGATATTTGAACTTTTATTTTAAGGACTGAGAAGTTTACAGAGAATTCCACTCAAGTTTTTTTTCAAAATAGTGCAAGAATACTACCCTGCGTGGGTACAAGGAGGTTAGATTGGAGCTATAAGAAGTTCTATAAATGAATTTCAACCACTTTTTTTAGAATCACCTATGAGACTAAAAATGGTCTACCAAAATCATTACGTATACGCTTCATTTTTTATTTCTGAGGCTTTACCCATCGATTTAGAAGACTTGTGGTGAGAGCTGGCTGCTAGCCAAAGTTGGTAGATAGTAATTGACGTCAATGTTTATGTCCCCAATATTGATGGTGAGAAAATGAGAACAAAGGCTTTGCGTAGGCGGATACAGTTAGCATATGGATGATCTGACACAGCCACAAAGAGATGCAAGGTTAAATTTCTGTGAGAAACGACCAATCAAAAGACTGCATTTTCTAATAACAGTTCTCTACAATAATGTACATTAAAATCTATAAATATATGTTGATTTTTCCTAATAAACGATCTGTTGCCTGGCCCTTGTCTTCTGTTGTTACAGTCTGACTTCTGTTTCTTTTTTCAATTATTATTTCACTTAATATGGAAAGGTGTGAATCACATGCTTCAAATCCTGTTCTTTCTAGTCGCACTTAGATAACTGAGGTGTATCACCAAAAAATTAGCATTGTAAAACACTCTTGGAAAAAAAACTACGATGTAATATTTTGAAGTGTTTGTTTGAAGTTTGATCCCGAATTGAATTCAGTTAGGGAACCACTGAAAACCAGAGAGTACTAAACAACAACTATTTCGTCCTAATTTAGGACTCGCGCGCCAAGGATCGGATCCAGGACCTTCAGATAATGAGGACAGCTGGGACGGAAACCAATAGTCAGTCCATGAGTGACAACGCCTGCTAATTTGAGACATGTAGCGCCACCGTCTGCCGATGTCATCGGCAGTGGTTGGATGATCGACTAGCTCGCTTTGTAAACTGAGTGTTCCGAGTTCGACCCCCGGTGGGGTCATAGATGCATGCTGCTGAACAGTCCCAAACTAGAGCTAAGCAGTCGTCCAGTGTTCTCCATGGTTTTCAATCGTAACCTGTAACCGACGGTAGTTCATGATTAAGCTTAAAATGTAATTGCTGAGTTGCTTAGTGAATTTTAACTGCAGGGTCGGTCATCATACTTTTAAATGAATTAGATCTCAATTGAAACAGAATAAGTTAAAATAAATAATATTTAAAGTAAGAAGGCATTGCTCATCAGTTGGCTTATCAATGACAACCATCCGTGATAGATAGATGTAACCAGATTCATTCTGGTCATTTTCAGATAATGTCACGAAATTTGATTAATATACATTTTGGTTACATAAATATTTTCTCAAATTTGTTGAAATAAATCAGTGATTTTAAATTAAACCTGATTTTGTTCTAAGTCATTGAAGGCAAATCAAACTTGCCGCGAGCTTTCGTTTCAGTATACTTGTATAGGTAGAATAGAGGCGGTGGTCAATTACGACTTGAATTTACCCAAAGTAGCTGATTTTGTATTATGGGTCTAGAGAGAAATGCTGCTATCACACCAGATGTTACGTTCAACTGTTTTAAAAAAGTTTTCCCAACTTTTTTTCGACGCATCTAGAATTTCTGTTATTACACCTGGTGTATCATGCATCATGAAAATACCTCCTCACTGGTTACTGATCTTGTAAGGAATTCAATTATGACGAAAATAGTTCAATGTCCACTATTGATATCAATTGAATAATTCAACCACCCAAGTTGTGATATCAGTAGATAATAAAAGTTGGTTTGTAAAAACTACACTTTGTAGTACAATTCACCAGCACATTTGTTTTTACCACAGGTGATAGTAGGAAAAGAATCTATATCAATATATTCACAGTTCACAATCTGACTGTTTTTACAACTTTAAAAATTTATCCAAGTTGTTACGATTTGTAAAGTCTGTATACCAGGCAGGCTTGTGTTGAAAATACATTAGAAAATGTGGCGAAAGAGAGAAAAACTACTTTATATTCCTTTTGTTTTAATGAACCAATGTAGCGTGTGCTACTGACGACATTTATCAGTAGTATATAGAGAGACGTTCATTGGCATTAAAATAACATCAAATAGCAGGGAGATAGATTTAATGTTAGAGAAAGCAAATGATACAGAGTTGCGAACATGCATCGGAGACGTGAAAGGAATACAAAGAAACACAAAGGAAGGCCAGAAGTGGCATGCACAACACGAAACATCTGTGCAAATGGTGAAATGAAGATAAGGTATGCATAATTTCGCTACGTAGCGATACCTCAAGTGGTCCGGGGTTCAAATCCTGGCCGACGTGCTCCTACAGCTCGCTAAACGCGGTAAAGAAGGAAGACTGGACGTGAGGTTAGAAACTCCACCCCACAAAAGTGACACCACTGCTTTTGAAACTTCAAAGATAAAGCTTGAAGCCCTATGTTCCACTAGGAACGTAAAGTAATCCTTATTACTATTCCCTTGCGTTCCGAGTGGAACATAGGGCTTCAACAGCATATCTCCACTTTTTTCTGTTTTCCGCCATCCTCTTTTCAGCTAGGTCCACGATTGACCAAACTTTTTCATCTCTTTCTCACACGATCTCCTCCATGTCACCCTTGCATTGACGACCCACTTGTCGCTTCCCGTTTGGATTCCACTCGAAGGCCTGGCGTGCGATGTCATTCGGCGGTCTTCTCAATGTATGTCCGATCCATCTCCACTTTCTCCTACATATTTGTTGAGTGATCGGCTCTTAGTTGGTTTGTTCCCATAGTTTCTTGTTGCTAATTCTTTCTGGCCATTTTATCTTCAGTATGGAGCCAGCCAGCGAAGTGGGCAGCTGTTGATGAAAGCCTGCAACCTGTTGGAAATCCTTTTCGTGACACGCCAAGATTCTGAACGGCTAGAAGAACCGATTTCACATTGGTGTTGAACGTAAAGTAATAAAATAATAAAAATAATAGTAAAATCCTGGTTGGTAACTTGCGTTTGAAAATTAGTTGGCAAAATATTAGACTGGTAACCTTAGCATCGTCAATGGCGACAGCCCTGCCTTCAACCACTAATTTTATAGTTTCAATCATTCTCTAAAATTCAGAAGTAATTGAAATAAAAATCAAAACTAGACTTCCCGCCCTCTTCATATTCACTTCTAATGGTATTGATATAAGAAGTCTTGGCTGAGCATCCAGTGTAATGATGAACAGATAGATAAGTGAACAGTGCTCATTTACATCATTAATCACGCAAACTATTGGTGAGTGTTCAACAGTTTACAGAAATTTGACACGAAAACTTTTTATGTGAGGTAGAATTCAAATGAAGTAAAATCTTGTGTTTTATACCCAGTAAAACAAAAATATGACTATTCAATGTTTATATTTATTTAGTAGAGTACTGTTTACGAGATTAAAATAACTGAGTTGATTAATTCAAGCTGACATGTCAATACTTTGCATAGATATCTTGGTACTATCATAGATTATTCCTTAATAATATATTTTTTTCCTTCACGTTCCCCAATGGAACATAGGGCTTCAAGCTAGTGGTTTAAAGTTTCTGTAGCAGTGTTTATTTCACAGGATGGGATTGCTAGCCTCATGCCCAACCCTTCCTCTTCACCAGCATTATTTCTGGCTTAGTGAGGTAAAGGAGTGCGTCGGTTGGGTATCGAACCCCGGACCATGTGCATGGTCAGCGAGCGTCCTAACCGCTATGCCACCGACGCACCTCAATAATATGTAGTAGAAAGTAATATTAGAACTCATGAGGCATTGTAACCCATTAAAATGCCAGAGAGTTTAGAACTCATTAGGCTACTTAATTTACTGTAAGAATATTCTGCATTTTCACATATGCGTAAAACTTGGGCACTGTGGTAGTAAGTAATTCCATATTAGTTTGTTTATTAGATATATCACACAGTGAAACAGTATTATTAGTTACTGGATGACGTTTCGAACAAAATTTATTGTTCATAATCATGTGATCAATTATAATCACATGACTTCGAAACTTGAGTTTTATAGTTTTCTTTGTTCTCTCCTATTTGTCGTTTAACTTTCCATGGGAAATTAAACACCAGTGTTTACAGGAAACCCACACACTCAAACAGATATTTTGACTTCCGATCATCCCATCCTATGTCAGTAAAAAAAAGGATTGGTGGAATGTTTAAGTAATAGAGCACAAAAACTAAGTAGTACCAAGGAAAATCTAAGACAGGAAGTAAGGCATATAAGAGAAGCTTTGAAACTTAATAATTACCCTGATAAATTAGTCAGAAAGTATGTAGGGAAATGTAAAAATAAAATAAATAATGATAGTAGTGATAATAATAATGGTAATATTAATGACAACATGCATGTCAAACATGCGCAAGATAATGACAACACCAACAATAAGGAATCTAAATCATCAGTAGTAATTCCATACAAAGAAGGAACCTCGGAAACCTTACACAGAATTCTTAACAAGGCAGGAATAAAAGTGGCTAGCATTCAAACCACCTACAAACTCAATTAGAAACAAGCTTTGTCGGTTAAAGGATCCTGCCAGTGGAGCGAGTTTAACAAAACAATTTAGTTTATCTAATACCCTGCCTACAATGATTGTCAGGTCAAATACATAGGTCAAAGTAGTAGAACAGGTTCAGTCAGACTAGCCGAGCATAAAAACCTAGCAAAATCTAGATTAGTTGACTCGACACTAAGATAAGAAATCTGGAGAATAGTTCAGCTATACCACTCACTACATGCAATTACACACAACCATACAATAGGATGGGATAGGATGACAGTTTTAAAATCTAATGTCGCAGGGTATAGGGAGAGATTGATAACAGAAGCTTTGTTTATCGAATCAACTGCAAATACGTGTAATAGGAATGGTTCAACACCTGTCCACCCTGATATCTGGAAAATTCTACTACCCCTACGACGACAAATAGGAGAGAACAAAGAAAACTATAAAAATCAAGTTTCGAAGTCGTGTGATTATAATTGATATGATTATGAACAATAAATTTTGTTCGAAACTTTGTCATCCAGTAAATAATACTGTTTCACTGTGTGATATATCTAATAAACAAACTAATATGGAATTATTCTGCACTTTGTAAACTGGAAGTTTTGTAACCCACGGCTAATGAATTCTATCATGGCAGTATTTAGAAAAATTAAAATTAAATACCTCATAAATTAGATTCGCAATTCGCAAATTAATTTGCAATCAGTAGAATGCAGTTTTACGCAAATATGCGCTTGCTTTCCTGACTACCACATTTATGGAATCAAGCAGCTCACATATTGTGATCTGAGTAATTCAGGTTTCCAGAAGAAACTGTGATGAAATTCCACCCCTCGAACGATGTAAACTGTAAATGAATCTGCGAATTGTGAATTTCATTTGTGGAATTACCAGTTTGCCTAAGTGACTACTCAGAAATCGGGTGGTTTGAAGTGATCCAGGTCTCTGAGTTAAGTCAAACGGGGTACAACACCGGTGGTGACCCCAAACCTAAACAGCCGAAGTGGCCATCCGGTGTTTAGATCACTTCGATCTGACTGACTAGCAAGCACTAATGGTTGAAGTGGGTTATATACAACTACTCAAATGAATCACTTAGTAGTATATAGTTTAAAGAAAATAGTTCAGTCCAAGAAAACAAAAGAAATGCCAACAAAATTTTAAGTGCATGCAATAAACAGAATGAAACTTTAGAAGTAAAAGACAAAAAAACACTAACTTCACGAAATGTATTATCCCAGAGTCTAGCAATAAATTCCAGTGTTATCGGTCCAGCTTTATACGATAATTTGCCTAAATCACAAACAATTGGAACACATCGAAGTCGACCATTATAACAACTCTAAAAAGAGAATTAAATTTGAATAATTTAGATTTGAAAACTAAAGAGTGAATTTTATGCATTATTAATACTAAAGGATAAACACAAAAAGGACAAAAGGGCAAATACAGATATAAAGCAGGTCGGGTGTGAGGACAAACACTCGCCACCGAGGACATTGGCTAGTGGTCACGCTATGTCGTGGATTAGCAGAAGTTGGAATTCATAAGCTAGCCATTTGATCGAGTCTCAATGGCTTAATGGTCTGCCTGCCTTGAACGGAAGGTCCTGGGTTCGAACCCTGGCAGTAAATGCGTACTGCTGAAGAGTCCCAAACTAGGGCGAAGCAGCTGTCCAGTACTCACAAGCTTTTCAATGGTTCTGTAACTGATGTCAGCTCATGATGAGACCCTACAACCAAAAACAGAGATGATTCTATCTCTGTTGAAACAAAATGACAAATATTTTGGTAACGACAGTGCAAAGTTAGGGTAAAAAAAGTGTGCTCAATACATTATTTGGTGACATGTGAGTTAAAAGAGGATAATAAACAAACGATAGATAGATGGATATTCTGTACTAGGAGAGTATTTCACTTGAGAAAATATTGCATGAGATGCTGTTGGCTTAGTGAAAGTGATTGAGGTGCTTTGAAAGTCACTGTTTTTTTGAAGTATATTTTGCTCTGAATGTAAATGTGAAGTGGCAAATGGAGTTACAAGTTAGGAGACTTGGAAACTGATATAACTAAACAGCCAAGCTGCGTATACGTGCGTCGGTTTTTGAGTGGTAGAATGCTCGCCAACCGCGAACCTGGTCCGGTATTCAATCTCCGGCCGACGCACTCCTAAATCTTATTTAGCCCGGTAAAAGGGGAAGGTCGGGTGTGAGGCTAGGAACCCGTTAACCTCATGGAAATGATCAACCATCGACCAGAGGACTACGGGATTTATCCGACACGACACGGTGTATCTTTACTAAATGGGGTGTGCTACGACTGATAGATGATGTATTATTTGTAGTGGAGCCGTCTTCATCGCCACATCTTCTAGTTCCACGTGTAAAGGTTCAAGAGGTGATTCACCTTGTACCCAATAAACTGGATAATGCTGGTCAATGAAAATGAAGCGATTTCAGTAGCCAATACTTCATCACGACGTTACTGAGTTCTTCCTCAATTGCGCCACATGTGCCCATGCTAACCGAAGCCCCTAATCACCGGATGTATATAGGTATCTTGGAACCACTTACAGCTTCGAGACGAGGCAACCGATACATCCTGGTCATGGTGGATTACTTCACCGAATGATGCGAAACTGTACCATTGCAGCAGCAAGATGCAATGACAATCGGTCGTGCATTCATTGACACATGGGTGTCTCGTTTTGGTGCCCCACTCTATTTACACTCAGATCAAGGCGCTGCTTTTGAGAGTCACCTTATTTCCAACATCTGTAACACATTCGGTATTCAGAAGGCTCTCACTACGTCATACCATTTACAAGGAAACGGTCTGCTGGGACAGATAAACAGAACAATAAGGAGTATACTTCATGCCTTTCTTCGTCACATACCAGAAACACATAGGATGACGTTCTACGTGATTGCTTGCTCGCGTACCATTCCTCAGTACACTCGTCAACGGTGTTTTCTCCTGCTCAGTTCCTGTTCGGCCACGAACTCTGCCTCCCAATCAAAATCCAGACAACCGCTGTCACTCTACGAAAGAACTGACTGCATTCCTTACAATCGAGATCTTCGCAACCGACTCGAGTTTGCCTGTCGCCTGGTTAGCACTCACCTACAGTATTCTAGCAAGCAACAAAAGAGTATCTATGATCGGCTCAAGCGTGGACCCACTTATTCAGTCGGTGATCATGTCTGGCTTCATCGACCATCAGTTCCTACCAGGTCGTGTCCCAAGATTTACACCCCATGGCAAGGTTCGTATGAGATTTTCCAACATTGACCTCCAACTATATATGCCTTGCGGAGCCTACAGCGACCTCAGGACAACGTCATTACCACCCATTATAACCAACTGAAAACATACCATCCAGCTACCCTAAAAGAACCGTCAGATTCATCCCAACCACCCCCTGGCACTTATCACTATGGAGTGCCAGTTGAAGGAGGGGATGCATACCTAATACCACAACCAGGCACTAAGGACAGTGCCTCGAGATGTAACGAATATATATATATATATATATAGCGAAAAGTGTTTCAAACACATCTAGCGGGGAAATTCACCAATCAAAATTTACTCTGCTTCAACTTTGGCTAATAGTTAAACTGTCAGACAACCAATTAACTTTATCCTTTTTACACAAATACTGTGCTGGACCAAAGTTATGTACTGTTTTTCACGTTCTCATCTTTGCTTCATGTACTTACAGGGCTTCTGTGTAAATACATCTTTCTTCTTGTTTAAGTGAATATTCTACACTAACTAGCTAGCTGAAAGAACCTACAAAGAATTTTAGAACGCTAATGGTGGACAGTGTATCATCACCGTCACTATTAATAGTTAGTACGTCTTCCTAACAATCTAACAAACCAGTAGATTAAGAACTATAAAAAATATTCCTAAAAGTTTTGTAGCTCAAGTATATTATGATACTTACAATTGTAGTCATTTTTCGATCGATAGACTTTGAATCTGTTAAACGATCAGGTACTGGTTCTAGTATCATTTCATTTGATAATGGAGGATATGAAGATGGATGTTCTATGGGTAAGTCGACAGGAGCAGTTCGTACAGGTACACCATCAATTGATTTTCTTAATCTTGAAAATACCTTTAAAAAGAAAAAAAATGAAGATAGAAACTAACAGTGAAGCGGTGTTTTTCACCCTGGACCAACCAGTTACCTCCACAATCTAATAACACAATACAACAAAGTATGCTGGAGTTATTGGAAGAAAACAGTCAAAATTAGTGAATGACATATTAATTACAGTTTAAAATGGTATTATAATAATATTATTATTCTTTTGGGTTCCAAGTGGAAAATATGGCTTCAACAACATATCTCCACATTAGTCCTATTTTCCGCTATTCTCTCCAACTGGTCCCAAGATTGACCATTGTCTCTCATCTCCGCCACGTCACCCTCGCAACGACGACCCACTCATCGCTTCGTATTCGGGTTCCACTCGAGAGATGGCTTGGTGCGTGATTTCACCTAACAGTCTCCCTAACGTATACCCAACCCATCTCCATTTACTTCTACATATTTGTTGAACGATAGGTTCTTGGTTGGTTTGTTCCACTGCAGAGTTTCTTGTCGCTAATTCTTACTGGCCGGTAATTTCATCTTCAATATGGAGCCAGCCAGTGAAGGAGGCAGTTGTTGGTAAAAGTCTGTAACCTGTTGAAAATCCTTTTAATGCAGCCGAAAGCAAGCTTCTGACCCATATAGGAGAACTGACTGACTTAACATTGATGTTGAAAGTCCAAATCTTGTCCTTTATACTGGCTGAGTCAGTGTAGAAGATTTCTAAACTGGTTTCAGGTTGATGTAGGCGTACCTTGCCTTCCCGATTCTGGCTAATTTTGATATCGTCATCCGTTCTGTATAGAAGAAAAGACCGATGAGGCTTGAAGGAGTGTCTCTAAGCTGAGTTAAACAGGGTAGACCGCTGATGAGCTCAGCGCCAAACAAGACAAATGGTCATTCGATATTAAGATCACTTCGATCCGACTAACTAGCAAGCACTAATCGTTGATGTGGGTGGTATGCAACTATTCATCTGAATCATTTAGTAGTATAGTATAAAGTTTTACGCATAAATCATGTGTAGTTAGAGTTAAAAGATGTGTGATTTATTCTACACAGACTTAATACCAGGTATACATCAAAATCGGGATAAGTCATACAATCATACATGACAGTGACTGCTATATTTGGTAAGGGAAACAGTCTTTTCAATGTTAGTATCCACCTTTAAGCCTTTACTAATATGACTTAAAACATAATTTATATGTAAACAGGTAAAGAACTGTATTATTGAATAAAATATTAGATTAATAATAACGTCCATCACATATAAGAAGATATGAAGCTTAGTGAATTATTTCATTGTGGATTATGAAATAATCAATCTGAACTATAAGATCAATTTTAAACGGTAGGCCTTTTTACCTAGGGGAAATTTCATCTCAAGTTCAAATTCATCATGAAGTGATATCAGTGAAAAGAAGTAGGGAATACCAGGGAGCATTAGGCAGTTGTATCTTCATAGTTTAGGATACTTCTACAAGTGCGTGCACAAGCCCTCACCACAGAGATCAAACTCATAGCCTTAAGGTTGGCTAGTGATACAGTCAAAACATTGAATGATTATTATTATTGTTTCCTTTAATTCCTAGAGGAACGTAGGCCTTCAGCCACACGTCTCCATTGCGTTCGGTTCTCTGCTAGAGTCTTCACCTGGCTCCAAGTGTGTCCACATGTTTTCATCTCCTCTTCACATGTCCTCCTCCAAGTCACCCCACCCTTGCACTGACGACCAACTCGCCGCTTCCCATTCTGTCGGGTTCCACTCGAGCAATGGCTTGTCTAGTGATGTCACTTGATGGTTCCCTCAGAGTATGGCCAGCCAATCCATCTCCATTTCTTCCTGCCTATTTGTTTCACAATCGGTTCCTGCTGTGTTGGTTCGCTCATTGCCAGAGATCCCTGTTGCTGTTCTTTGCTGGCCGGCCGTCTGATCTTGAGTATTGAGCGAAGACAACTGTTAATGAAGGTCTGTAGTTTGTTTGAGATGCTCTGTATGACGCGCTAAGTCTCTGAATGGATGAAATAGATGTGAAGTTGGGAAACCTATGATCTCTACTGACTGAGGCACAGATCGAAGTAAGTTAGTTTAAATTTAGCTGCAATGAACACTTTTATTCAATTCTGCTGTTAGTGAAAATGAATACAACAAGTTGTATGAAATTAAACATACTGAGTGAAAGATAATATGACATTGCTGTCAACGATAAGCAACTTTTTTAATGAATGTTTAGCTGTCATGCTTCAATGTATAATATACATCATTATTACGTAATCACTGAATAAAGAGTAGTACAATTCGTTGGTTATATAACTAGAAGGCTGATCCCATTGCAACTCTACGCATCGTCGTCATCGAACTAAGCATAGAATGCCAGTCAAATCTCTACGTCAACTCCATAGACTTTGAAAAGAACTTCCACCGACAGCGTTGACCAAGAGGTAATTTGGAAAGTACTTCAATACTATGGAGTGCAGTGCCCAAATCGTTTTCAAACTCATTCAACAGCTGGCTGTATGACAATGCTACGTGTCAGGTGATTCACAACGGAAAACTCAGAGAAGCTTTCGAAGTGAATACAGAAGTAAGACAAAATAGACTGCCTAATATCACCAATGATATTCTTAATTGTGGTGGACGTCGATTGTGCGTCAAACTGTGAATGGGTACTAAGAAGACAGAAATACGTCGGACCGATAAGAAGACTCTAGAAAAAGATGTGGCTTCCGCTGATGGCTTATGTCTAATGTCACACAAACTCGAATGAATGTAGGCGAAAACCAACAAACTGTCAGAAGAGACTGGCCGACAGTGAAGACAGGATTTCAGGTGAACACAGAGAAGACGGAGGTGATGACAATAGCCAATCAACAACAATAACAACTAGCACCAATTACCATCAACGGGAAGGATTTAACAGAGAATGCCTCCTTTACTTATCTGGGAAGCATCTTTTCAACTACAGGCGCAACGGATGAAGATGTCAAAGTGAGAATTGGAAAGGCAAGATACACCTTCATCAATCTGAAATCAGTTTGGATATCTTCTGCACTCCGCCGCAGCATAAAGAACAAGCTTCGGATTTTGAACACAAATGCTAAGTGAGTCAGTTCTTCTATCTGGGTCAGAAACGTACACTGTGTTCGCGTCACAAAAAGGATTTTCAACAAGTTACAGACTTTTGTTAACATCTGCCTTCGTTGGTTCCATACTGAAGATTAAAATGCCAGCCGGCCAGAAAGAACTAGCAGCAAGAAACTCTTCAGTGGAACAGACCAACCAAGAACCTATCATTCGAATATGTAGGAGATGAGCATACGCTGGGAATACCATTAGGTGACATGGTGCGCAATGCAGGCCTTCGCTCGAGTGGAACCCGAATGGAAAACGACGAGTGGGTCGTCCGAGGATGACATGAAGATCATGCGAGGAGGAGATGAGAGATTATGGGTTAATTAGTTAATTGAATAACCTTCATATCTATTCCATTTCCGTGATGGAAAAATTTACAACTGGTGTTTTACTTTTAATTGGTGAGTTTCAGTACACCAGGAACAACGTAGTCATCAAAGCTCGTTCTCACAGTTGATCAATTAAATCTTGCCTTGTTACTGACATTTTGCGTACAGTTCATGTGAGCATAGTTTCTGCACATAATCCAAGATAGCGTAGTGATTGTCAGAACAAATCAGCTGTCCGCTATATGCTATGATTCTTATTGATTTTCACTTCATGACACGAAGTTCATTGAGAAGATAAGAGCAAAAAAACAGCGACAACAACAACAGGAACTCACTCTGAATTTATGTGGATTGACAACTTTTTCTAATGCTCTAGAATCACAAACAACACTAGTTGAATTCTCTATTGATTCACCTGGAATCGATAGTGTATGTTGTATAACATAGGGATTTTCAAGAAGATAAAGTAAATATTTCCCATGTGGTTCATTGATAAATCCAGAGAATTCAAAAGGCCAATCAATAATTAAACGGGAGGCTGGTATCAAGCTATGCTTACGTAGATTTCTTACCTTTAAAGCATGAAAAATAAAATAAAACAATAATAGATGAATTATAATTGCATAAACACTATATTACAGATGTTATATATATATATCTTACGGTTTTTCAACTCGTGCATCTTACCTGTTCTTTTTTATTGTTCACCCTTATTCTTTCCCCTGAGCTGCTTAAAAAAGACTATTTCATAATTCATAGGACTCTGTCTGTTTGTATGTTTTCAACATAGAACTTTGCACAGATGTCAAGCAGTTCAAGTCGTCATACTCCATGCAAAATAGAGATAGTAAACAGGGATATGAGACAAAAGGAATAGTAATAACGAAGAGTATTATAGTTTTATTGGGTATTATAAGTCACAAGGAGTGGATGCATCTGAGCCATTGAGAATGATTTTGAGCCATATCACCGATTATCTCCAGCCATTGGTGTCTTAAACAAGCATACTCTGATGTTGACGGATGAGAAGGACAAAAAAGAGAAAGTATCAAATATTGCCGAAATTCTTAAGAATAATAACTACACAAAGAACTTCAATAACAGTATCAACACCGACATTAAATATGGTCGAAAACGTATTGTGAAAACATGGACCTCAACCGTTGTCTTTCCATATAGACCAGAGACGTTGGAGGATATCAGAAGGGTACTCAGTAAGAACAACATCAGACACACTGAGAAGCAACCTTGTCCATACAAAAGACCAAATCCCTAAAGATTCTTTATCGGGTTGTGTCTATAAAATAAAATGGTTGGAATGTGATACGATATACATCGGACAAACACCGCCAGAGAGAAATCAAAATCAGAAGAAATGAACGCCGTAGAGCATCTTTTCAACCACCGAGAAATCCAGTTGAACTAGAAAAGCTTGAAAAATCATCGCTGCGCTATAAAATCAGGCCACAAAATTGACTTTGACAATATGGAATCATCATCCAGAAAAAGCATTTCAGAAATCATAAAGAACGTCTCATATCATCAGAATCACTTCATATCAAATGGAATCCAAATTATCTGAATAGGAATGATGAACTAAAACAGAATTTGACTTGGTTGCAACACCCCTGTCCGCCATGAAATGACAAAATCAACATGAATGCGATAAGCAATTTCACTATGTAAATACATGCTGCTTTTATAATTTTACACACTTATCCAGTCTAGCAATCTTCTCATGGTTTTTGTTATCTTCACCAAGTAGCTCACTTGAAAACACAAGAGATTACCCCATGCTGAGGAACAATGATTAAATTTGTTAATTATAAGCTGAGATTTTGTAAATTCTGGTTTGGTAATAATTTGATAAAGCTATTAGCAGCATTAAATAGTGAAACATCAGCAAAAAAATATCGTTTTGTTTTTCATTCGTTGGGAAACGTGAAAGAATAAAAAAAATTCAAAACTACATAAGCTCAATATGCCTTTTAAAAATAACCTTTTATTTGCTAACTTTATGGTAGTAATTTGTGCTATGAAGAGTCAATTATCAAAGCTATTCTGAAATCAATTCAGAAAGAAGACGGAAACTTATTGTCTTTGGCAGGTTGTTCTTCACTTTGTAGATTACTTTGTAGGAGGCGTTTGTTGAGATGGAATGACCAGTGGTGACGAGATGTTTGATTATTGCACTCCTAATACGGCCACTACTTCCTTTCTGCGGCGAAGCTGACCCTTTTTGACAGGATGCGCGTCGAACGACCGATGTACCTGGCTTCACAGCAACACGTGAACTGATATATGCAGATAGAAGTGGGCAGATGAGAAATTTTGTCCTTTTGGCTTCTGCAGATCAGCGGGCGTCTGGAGAATACTATTCTCAGTATTGCTGCGAAAAAAGTTCTTCTTAAAGAAGTGGAAATTCTCCTCTTAAGCATATCACCTTTGAAGTTGAGGTTCATATAAAGTATCTTTTTTGGCACGGATGGCGTCTCTTGCTTTTGGATTTTCTGTCTGATGTTTCTGTCAATGAATCTTGATGGATATCCGTTTTGCATGAAGATTTCTTTCAGGAAGTGTAGTTCTTCTTCCAGGGTATCAGAGCTGCAGATGCGTCGGACGCGAGTAGCAATGGATCTAATTAGGTTTCTTTTTCGACTGTAGAAGCTTGTCAGTTGGCCGTTCCACGTGGGTTTCCTATGGATGGATCTTTTTAAAGTTCCGTCAGCTCTAAATTGTAATTCCAACATCATCTGTGTTGACAGTTTAAGATACTTTTTGAGTGCTTTTTTCTCTCTCTCTCAAGAGAAGTAATCAACTTGGACTTCCTGCAGAGTGAATCTTTCTAAAATGTCAACTGAAGTTACAGTGCATCACAGTATGCAACATTATTGCGTCATTCCACTACAAACATTGATTTTAATCAATATTTATTTACAACACTGATTACCTTTCGGTTAGATGAAACACTTAATTCAACACATGACAATTCTCATCATCATCATCATACTAGGAGCAGTGTCTTTTTTACTTAAAAAAATGACCTATTCCGATAAATTTTACAAAATCAAACTGAATAACTATTAAAAGCAAAAAACGTACAGTAAATTTCCCGACAATTCTAACATCTCCAATTTGATTCTCTGCTGTCATTGAACTGATACCATCGCTAACATTCCCAGTGAAATAAATTGTACTAGGTTCAACTGTTCTGCATACCATAAAAAAAAGAATTTAGAAAGAAAATTGCTTTTAATATGTGATGAAGTCAAAATGTTGAGGATAATAAACAACGGGTACTGGGTTCGAGTCTCAGGGGGGACACTATCACTCAGACACTGGGGAATGCAGGTACATCCAGTTGATGACGAGTCCCAAATTGGACGAAATGCGCATCCTGGTGGATTCCACTGCTAGTCACCATCCTCCCATCAAATTACTTCAGTGTTAATGTTGTATAATTGGTTTATAGGTCTGATTGTAATCATACGTTTACTGGTTGGAATTTACCTTGAATGAATGAGTTACACGATTACATAACTACAACTCAGATGATTAAACAGATTTGTACTGTAGTAATGTGGCGCTACTACTCGACTTTCTATCCAATGGAATCGGGTTCGAATCCTTTGTTTCACCTAATTCAGCCTGGACAACTGTTTGGATTGACAGAGAAGTGTTCATTAATTAGATAATAAACCTCGCATTCAGTTCATCATTTGTAAATAATATCAGGTGCGTCGGTGACACAGCGGTAGGATGCTCGCCGACTACGTGTGTGGTCCGGGGTTCGATCCCCGGCCACCAACGCACTCCTTTGTCCCGTTAAGCCAGTAATAACACTGGTTAAGAGGGAAGGTTGGGCATGAGGCTACTAACCCCATCCCGTAAAAGTAAACACCACTGCTACCAAAACTCCAGAGCTCTAGCTTGAAGCCCTATGTTCCACTGGGGACGTAAAGGAATAGAAAAAAATAATATCAGACATTTTATAATATGATTATAAAGTCTTATGTACCCTATAGCTTATTCTCTTCTCTTCAGTATTACAGCACTTCGTGCCTTGTTTATTCATTGACAGCTTTTCTGGCTATATGTAAGCTTTCATTACTTTTCCTGATGACGCCGAACTATAAGCTACTCATGCATATATATATATAGTTATAAGTATCACACATCAGAGTAAAGTCAGCCATGGAATTATTAATATAATCAACACTTGAGCATATGAAAAAATTGCATTGAAAAGAACATTTCCCGCCGCCAAAACTCATTCTACTTTCCAACACAGTATGCTCGTTAACCCAAACAAAAGTAAATAAGTATTCTGCCCAAGTCAACTCCAAATGCATTTACCAATTCACCTGCATTTGCGGCAGCAAATACATAGGAAGTACTGAGAGGACAGCGTCGAATCCCGTTGGGTGCGTACTGGTGAAGGGACCCCAACTAGCATGAAACAGCTGTCCAGTACTCCCAGGTTTTCCAATGGTTCTCTAACTAATGTCAGCTCATGATGAAAATCCTGTAACTTCAAAGATAAACTATCGCATTTGACCACTTCTATGTGTATCTACCAATTGACTTGCTCATGTGTATTGAGCGAGATACATAGAAAGATAGTTCGATTTCATGTTTTATCTAAAAGAATCAAAGAACATTATCCCGCTTGGCTACGAAAAGGTAGCAGTCGATCAATAAGGAGTGGTATATTTCTCGGTCAATATCCTCGATGAACATCCACCTAACTTTGAAATAGTGGACTCCATCGAAGGCATCGGCGAAGACAGCGATATACCAGAAACTAGAAAAAAACAAATAGAATTCAGGTTGTTACTGAATTCCAACAAAAGTATGTATGTATGATCAACAATCTCGGTCTCGTTATCTGAAAGTCCCGGGTTCGGTCTCTAGTGGGTCGCGTGTTCGCACTGTCGGAAAGAGTCTCGAAAACTAGGATAAAAACAGATGTCCAATGTGCTCCCTCGTTTTCATTGATCACTCTAATTGATGTTTGTTGGTAACGAAAATCTTGAAACTTTAAATAATAATATTATTATTGTTCCCTTGGGTTCCTAGTGGAACATAGGGCTTCAACTGCACGTCTCCACTTGCTTCTGTCTTCTGCTGTACTTTTCACCTGCATCCATGTTAGTCCATACTGTTTCAACTCTTCTTCACACGATCTCCTCCATGTCACCCTTGCACCGACGAACCACTCGCCGCTTCCCTTTCGGGTTCCACTCGAGCGTTGGCCTGACGCGCGATGTCACCCAGCGGCCTCCTCAGCGAGTGTCCAATCCATCTCCACTTTCTCCTGCATATTTGTTGAGCGATTGGTTCTTGTTTTGTTTGTTCCCATAGTTTCTTGTTGGTGATTCTTTCCGGCCATCTGATCTTGAGTATAGAGCGAAGACAGTTGTTGATAAAGGTCTGCAACAGGCTGTTGGAAATATTCTTTGTGACCCGCCAAGTTTCTGATCCGTATAGAAGAACTGACTGACTTGACGTTTGTATTGAAAATCCGAATCATTTTGTTGTTGATGCAGGCTGAGTGACGAAGATTTCCAGATTGGTTTCAGGTTGATGAATGTGTTTCTCGCCTTCCCGATTCTCCTCGATTTGACATCCTCGTCCATCCGTTCCTCCTGTAGTTGAGACAATGCTCCCTAGATAAGTGAATGAAGTAACCTCTTTCAAATCCCTCCCGTTGATGGTGATTGGCGCTGGATGTTGTTGCTGTTGTTGTTGTTGGTTGGTTATTTTCATAACCTCCGTCTTGTCTATGTTCACCCGGAGTCCTGTCTTTGCTGCTTCTTCGACCAGTTTGTCGGTTTTCGCTTGTAAGTCTTCGATTTTGTGTGACATCAGACATAAATCATCCACGCGCGAAATCCAGGTCTTCTAGGTTCTTCACGTCGGTCAGGACAGGATATCCCTGTCTTCTCGTTTCTCATTGTCTGATGACGCATAATCCAGTCCACCACAATTAGGAATATCATTGGTGATAATAAGCACCCTTGTCTGACTCCTGTGTTTACTCTAAACGCCTCGCTGAGTTTTCCGTTGTGGATCACTTGACATGTGCTGTTGTCGTACAGCTGTTGAATAAGGTTGATGAATATTTGGGGTACGCCGTAGTACTCGAGTAGTTTCCAAATTACTTCGCGGTCAACGCTGTCTGGTGAAGGCCTTCTCAAAGACGATAAAGGAAGTTGAGGTAGAGGTTTGATTGCCATTCCATGCTTTGTTCGATGATGATGATAATATTAGTAAGTGATATTTAAACTTCCGCTTGTATAGTTGGTTTAACAATATTAAGATTAATGAATAGTGGTAACCTAGTTTTCTTAGGTAATATATCATTCAGTGTATGGAGAGAGAAGTTGTTACCTTACCTCAATCCTATCGGTATGACTAACTACAATCAGTTCGTCTTTAGCTTCAATCATAAATCTATATAATCTATGATAATTTATTTACGAATCGTAATACTTGGAGGAAGAAAAAATGATAAAATTCACAATTTCATTATTTTGCTAAATTAAAACTACGGTGAAATTAGTGGTTAGTATTGGTAGAAAAAAAAAAAGAAAAAAACTTCGACATTTGTTTTTCCCCCAGTCTCCCTTATTCGTCTTTTACATTTTTACATAAATTCATTTTATATTACTTAATACAAATGATAAATGTAATGTGTATACCAATTAATTTATCGGTGATTTATTTAGTAGAAAGATTTACTGTGTAAAAACCTAATCACATATGTATATATGTATATATATATCGTTTACTTCAAATTTATAATTTATGTAGAAAGGCATTCCTCATCCTGCTTTTATAGGTACATGAAAATTTATGAGGAAAATGATGCTTCGTGTTCGGTGAATTCAAATATTTTCAAGTATTGGTTTTTTAGGGATCTTTGTTGTTGTTGTTTGATTGGTTGGAGGATTTCATCATGAGCTGACATCCCTACAAAATCAATACTTGACAAATGGATCTGATGTTCATTAGCAACTGGCCCCATTCAGTCAGTCAACCTGAGGTTCTAGTGGGAAGCCATGACCTGTAGGGTACAGCAGGTTGTAGGTGAGGCAGTAACTCATCGAAGAAGGCTATGTCATGAATTGGCAGAAGTCATGGAATTCATGAACCACTGAATTGGGTCCCAGTGGCTTAATGGTCTGCGAGCTAGCTCGCCTTGTAACCAGAAGATCCTGGGTTCGAACCCTGGTGGTGGTTGCGAACTGATGAAGAGTCCCAAACTAAACTGTCGAAACAGTCATGATGAAATCTCCAACCAATTCAAATATTTAACAAAAGATTATGAAATTGATATATGACTGGCAATAGAACCTGGCAGTTTACTAGTCTGTTGCGTTAACGATCTTCACAACTGGTAGATTTACGAGACTACCGTTCTAATCAATCAGAGTGACAGTAAAATATAGATACCACAATCAAATGACCTTGAGCCAGCCAATCATGTACTCTTAGGTGAAAAGCGGTTACTGGATATATATAAAACAAAAAATGAATTATTATATAGGGTGTATATCTCTGATATTCTGCAAAAGGAAGTCTCAGTTTTCCATAAGAGTGTCTATAGTAAATAAACCAGAATCTCTGTAAGTTACCAGTTATACAACCCACTAATTCGAGTGGGTTTATTGCGAATCCTTGCATATTATAGCGTCGTAGTCTGTTGCTATTGGTGATTTATTGACAAGTTATACGTTTTGTATGCTTTTTAAATGAAATTTTGATGTAATAAATTTTTTTTCTAACGTACATATTATTATTATTATTATTGTTTCCTTCAATTCCTAGAGGAACATAGGGCTTCAGCCGTGCGTCTCCATTGCGTTCGGTTCTCTGCTAAGTTTTCACCTGGCTCCAAGTCTGCCCACACGTTTTCATCTCCTCTTCACATGACCTCCTCCAAGTCACCCTTGCACTGACGACCAACTCGCCGCTTCCCATTCTGTTGGGTTCCACTCGAGCAATGGCTTGTCTAGTGATGTCACTCCTTGATGGTTTCCTCAGAGTATGGCCAGCCAATCCATCTCCATTTCTTCCTGCCTATTTGTTTCACAATCGGTTCCTGCTGAGTTGGTTCGCTCATTGCCAGAGATCTCTGTTGCTGATCTTTTCTGGCCGACCATCTGATCTTGAGTATTGAGCGAAGACAACTGTTAATGAAGGTCT